CGCTTATAGCTGGGATCATCAAACTTGAAAAACTTGGTATTTCTTTTTTTTTTTTTTTTACTGTGATTTAAAAATAACATAAAATATACCATCTTAACAATTTTTCTGTGTACAGTTCAGAAGTGTTGAATACATTCACATCATTGTGGAACAGATCTAGATATCATTTCAATGTTGTCCAATCGTTTGGGGGCATATTACCCAGAGCTGGGAATCATGAAGGAAGAATGAGTTGTTAAAACATATTTAAAAGGGTGAATGCCAATCCAAATTAAATTAAATGATTTAAAAAAAAAACCTCGTCCTATTCCCTTACCGAAAAAATATATTGGATACATAAAAATACATTTAGGGTAGACATGTGCTCACTCATTGCGTTAATTCCACTAATATATAAAGTTAGTTTTCTGTAGTGGCTGGTGGTGTTGGGTAGAAAAAGGAATGTCTTTCAGGCATCTCACACCAAGTGACTTCTTATATTGCATTGTTGCAATGTGCCAAGAAAATAACCTGGGAAGTAAGGCCAGATTAAACTTCTCCTGGTTTTAACAAGAGGCAAAAACCAGACAAGTATGTGTTTATTTTTCAGTATTTCTTATGTCATTTAAATAAAAATTATATATATCTATTGTGTACAATAGGATTTGATATGATTACTACCGTCAAGGTAATTAACATATCATCTCTTTGCCCAGGTACCAATTTTTGGGGGGGATGAGAACATCAGAAATCTACTCCCTTGGAGTATTTCCAGAATTCAATACATTATTAACTACAGTCATCATGTCTGTACATTAGAGCTCTGGAGTTTTTCATCCTATATAACTGCAAGTTTATGCCCTTTGATCAACATCTCTGCCCATTTTCCCCGCTCTCTATGAACTCATTTTAGAGCAAACATTAAAGAAAAACAATTGTAGTGGTTACTCTCTCTTCTTGTATCTGTCCTCTTCTCTCATAGCAGTTATCATAGTTTTTGCTTTTTGTGTGCAACTTTTGGGTTAAAGTATATCTCCTTTCTATTCTCAGCTGGTAGTAGAGTGGTGATGTTTAATAGGTGTGCCTCAAGAATTTTTCAATCATGCAATACCTGACTATTTAGTCAGGAGCACTGACGTCTTTTTCCTTAGATTGTCAAATAAAATAAATGACAACAGCCAACACGACAATAGACATCTGGTGTGAATGAATAAAAATTATACCTATTTTTTTTTTGTCAGACGGGCAAGAAAATATATATTTTTTGGTGTGTCGCAGAATTTTAGCAATTAGTTTATGTGTGTCCTAAGACGAAAACGGTTGAAAATTGCTGATATAAGAGAATGACACTTAGAAGACAATAAATAGCTACTTGCACAAATGCAACACTTGATGCCTGTTACTTCATTCAGCCAATGTTTATTGAGTGCTTACGATGTGTCTCAGACTATGTATGGCTCTTTCCAAATAATGGACCTGCACACGGAGTTGTCAGTCAGTTACATGCTTTGTTAAAAAGAACTATGGGTTAAAGTCTTAATACAAATTACACCAGTTTAGACTATATACTTTGTTTAGTTCAAGTTCATATCTCCTAGTCCCTTGTCTCTAAGAGAGACAAGAGACCCTAATTTTAGGTAAGCAATTTCTATATACTCTTGAGGTCATCCATCATAAACTACACAAAATATTTATAAAACAGGGCAAAATGGACTTCTCCTTATTTAGATCTACATGCCATCTGCATGTTAAAATGCCTTACTCTACATGCTTATCGCCCCAGACCTCAAAAAAGGGAGGTGTCAGATGATCTCATGCTGTTGGTCAGATTACCATATGTATTGAGCATTAGCTGAACAACAAGTCAATATTTTCACAGAAATTTCTTTGGAAGAAGAAACGTAAATTGAGTTTTTCATTGGCAACTTATGATGTCTCACATACATGTTCTGCACCCGTCCAGGCGAGGCGAGGGAGAACGACCCGCCTGGAAGGGCTGTGAAGACTGACACGCTCCTTGCCACTTCGTCCTCCAAGTTTTCTGTGTATTTTCTAGGCTGAGCAGACAATGTCAGCCACCACAGAAGCGACTTTAATCCAGTTATAATAGCTGGTGAGGAAAAAAAGGCTCTCGTGGTTTGAGGAATGAAGAAAACTAAATCAAGATAAGGAAACATACTAAACAAGTTATTCGCTAAATTAGTTTACATTCGGCTCACTAATAGATTTTCTTCTAGGCATGTCCAAGAGATGCAAAATTTAAAATGTAACTAATACCATCTTACCAGGAACACAGCTTGTGCCAAGCTCTGGGTGAAATTTCCCTGGGGGAACTACCAAAGCATGAGCAGTTTGGTTCTGCCAAGTGCAAGTGACAAACTGAAGGAATGAAGGAATGAACAAATGAATGGACAGATGCATAGATGAATTAATTAATAAAACGGTGAGATCTGCCTTCCAGATAGTGTTTCATTTGAAATAAAGCCTGTAAGAAGCATTTAAAAATCCAGTGACAATGTATAGGTGCTTTTTTTTTTTAAGGCGAGGAAATAATCTTACGGAAAAAAGAGAGAAAAGAAACAAATCTTTTTTTTTTTTATAACAGTTGATGTGCTGCTGCAGTGAGTATTGAGGCCGTTTCCCTAAGACTGTGAGAGTAAACACACAGTTTTCATTAAATGTGCCTTTCCCATAACTGGTCCATAAGCATTTCCCATGACTCTGCAGTTGAGTATCTTGGCTGAGAGAGGATCTGGCCATTAAAAAGAGGGCCCTAGATATGCTGAGTCCCAGCCATGCCGAGAGACTTGGCACTTTCTATGCTACTTCCTAATACCAGCCCCAGCATAAAATGTCATCAGAAGCCTGCATAAACATTGGACTTAGATTCACATAAATTATTTCTGTCCTAAGGTGCTTTATGCCAGAATTTAGTAAAAACAGCACTTTGAGTAAATAGAATTGGCGTATAAATGCAGGAATATTAATCCAACAAAATGATCATAGAAAAATAAAATCAAAAGTACACACTTGTAAATCTTGCAATGAAGTGAGAGGTTTATCTTGTGCCTCTGAGTTTTTATTGAACATTTCCATAGAGTTCCTTTAAGCTGACACTGCCAAAGTGCTCGGAATTACCCGTTTCTTTGAAGAAGTGTGGTCTTTGAGTTTCATTAAAATGCTTGGGAATTATTTTAATAATCATATGTGTGATTAGCACCTGTTTAGTACTGGATCTACAAATTCATTTTAAGAGTAAACACCAGGACAATGAAATATAATGCCAGATACGATTGCTCCTGTCAGCAAAAACATTGTCTTATTTTATTAAAAATGCCAGCAAAATGCCATGAACAAAGGATACAGTTTCTATTTGCAGATATTTTCTACTCTCCAATATTACGGTATCTGCATACCACAAGGCTGTATCTAGCAGAATTTTCATCTTGCCTGGGGTATGTACATGAATGGAGAGGTACAGAACCCTTTTTCATATGTGCACACATCTTATTATGTACAGCTTCCCCCAAAGCCCTATTTGAATTTTTGCTCTAATATAACAGTGCTCACACCGTCAGTACCGAGTATTTATAAGTGAATGAAGATTTCCTGAAAATGATTATTTAGCTATTGGCAATAATAACATTATAACATTTTCAGTGATCCATTTTGGCTTTAAGTACTTATTAAATAATATTTATTCCTCAAATATGTACTTGTAAAATTAAATGAGATTGCAACATGCAATAAAAACACATTTCTCTCTCAACTTGAATTGACTCCATTCCTCACAGATATCTCTCCTCGTGTTCATTCTGCTTTTACTGTTTTCTACTCTCGCTCTGAACTCTCTGCTCTTCTCTCTGATGCGCTGATATGCTTTCCCCCAAAGCCACTCTCTTTATCCACTTTCCCTGCCCACTCGTCCCCTTCTTGTTATTCTCCATTCCCTACTGATATGGGAATAATAGGATCCCAAGGCGGTCCTTACAGCATAATTAAAGTATGAATTTCCAGGAGTTGGAAATTGCAGACCATTTTTATTATGCTTCTATAATAAAGCCAGGTAACACTCAGAGAATTAAAATAGCTTCGCTCTAGCAGACAACTTCGTAAAGATTTTTTCTCCTTGGTTCTATTGTTTTAAGAGATTGGGAGCAGAAAATGGGAATAGATTCACCAATTCTTTTTCTGAAAACACCTCTGTCTTTTACGTGATATATATCCCCCTAGATCCTGGGAATATGTTGTAAACTTGTAACAGATGGTGATGAAGCTTCATATTTTTATATAATACATTTTTTTTTTCCCTGAGATTCTGCATCTACTGTATGTATCTTCCAGGGACGATGACCTTGAATGAATGAAGTCATAGTCTGAAGGGAAAACACCTCACAGACTGACTGCCATAGAAATGATGTGTCAATTAGGGTTTGTTTTGCCCCCCTCAGTAAGGTGAAATGATTTCAGATGAAAAACAGAAGGTTGAAATATAGGGAGCAAAGGTCATCGTGACGCTGCAGGTGCATCTGTTAATTGTTCCAGGAAAACCAGTTAGCCGGGTTCCGACTGAACAGAAACACGTGGAAGATGGAATGTCACTGTTTGCAAGTAGAAATGCTATTTGCTTCACTTGGGTAACGTTGGGGGCTTACCAAAAATTGTCCTGGCACAACATCTACCAGCGTGAATGTTAGGAGGGTTCTAACACTCCGAGTGCTGATATTTTATGAATGTTTTATCACTGGCTTGAAAACAAGAAGTTTGCAATTGAATCAACAACATGTCAGACAGACAAAATAAAAAAAAAATTAAAAAAGAACATTAGTGGGAATTACTGATGTCCCTATTATAAAAACAAACTGAAGTTCATAAGAAACTTGATCCTCTTAACCGATTGACAAAAGTCAGGTTTTAATTGCATGGCTTCCCAGACGAACCAAGTGGCTCTGTGAACTTGAGCATGGGTTGTGTAGAGGGTGCAGTAAAGGGGAGAAATTGCTGCATATTCAGTTACCCACCTCTTTTTTCGACAGCTTCAATGCATTGCTTTACGAACCGTGGAACTGTGGAATTTTCATGTTCACACACTGTGTGCAGATGAGAGCCAAACACTTGATCTGCAAAAAGAAACAAAGATGAGCTTCATTAAAATCCAAGCTTGCGTTGTTCTTTAATTTGATTCCGTTTCCATATCCTCTGCATGATGAAATCTGCATCTTGCATAGGAATCAATTTTTTGCTTTAATTCCAAGGTGTCTGTTGCAGACATGCAAAGACTCCCTCCATTATGGAACAAGACTCCAGCCCCAGAGAAAGAAAACTAACACTCTGCCATCGATTAGGCTGGGGTGCCTGAGTAAATTATAGTCTCTCTGGGCTTAACTTTGTTGTCTATAACATAATGACAAGGAATTAAGTAAACTTCTACAAAATAATTCATCTTAATAAATTGATGTCTTGAGTGTTTCAGAAGAAATTTTTCAGCGATCATCAAAATTTTGATTTTGCTACTACACTTAGGAAATTCATTCTGTGGTTCAATGATACTTGACAAGGCAAGTTCCAGGAGGTGTAACTGGGAAGTGAATTTCTAAACGTTTCTCCTCTTAAATGCCCTTCCTCTTCTCTAATCTAAGTATCCCGTTTCCTTTAGGGCTTAGCTCAGATAGCACTTTCTCCACAAACTCTATCCTTCCCATCTCAGCTTTGTGTCTCCAGTAACACAGGTTCGTTGGAGAGCCAGTTCCTCAGGATGTTAATAGGCGATGGGGAAAAGGGCTGTGATCAAAATGGTTTAGCAACATTGGGTTAAACAAAGTTAAGCAGGTTTCTTTTATGAATGTTCATTTTAGAGCTTGTGATACGCCAGTGTGCCCTGCGAGTCTCCATGAGGGGCTGGACCATGCACTCTTTCCCACACTTATTTGAGTAAGATCCTTTTATTTCAAAGGGCATCTTTCTAGACTAATGTTTCCTAGAACATACTGGGCAAAATCCTAACCTAGCCCTCTCATTTAGAGCATGATTTATGCTGCCTTGCATTGTGTATTTACATTTATAATATATGAAATTGTTTTCTCAAAGTAGACTGTGCATGCCTGCATCATTGGTGTGTTCTTATACTCACCAGGGCTGTGCACAGATTCCAGCCTACAGGATTCACCAACAGAGATTTAAAATTATAGTAAATTATACGCAACATAAAATTTACCATTTTAACCATGTTTAAGTGTACTGTTCAGTGGCGTTAAGTACATGTATATTGTTGTGCAACCTAAACCACAAATCCATTTTCAAAACTTTTAGAAACAGCATAAATGTTTATTATTTATAATGAAACAAATATTTAGTAGTTTCAAGGGTTTCCCATCTCATACAGAATGAAAGCCAGTTCCCTACCTCCGCTTCCAAAGCAGCACATGACGAGACTTTCTGCCAATTAACTGATTTCGTTTGCTTCTTCTGTTCCCTTTCACCTGAATCACTTGCCTACAGCCTCTCCATCCACAGCCTTGCCACACTTCTGCCTCTGAACTTTGCACTTATTATTTCTTCTGCATGGAACTCCATTGCTCCAGGTATCAAATCAGATGCCACCTTCTGATTGTAGCCTTTCCTACCTACTCTTTAAAAAATAGGCAACCAATTCCAACAAGCCCTTTCCATGTTACCTCCCCGCCTTTCTTATAGCATTCTCTCCACCTGGCACATTCGATTGATGTGTTTGCTGGTTATTTGCTTCCCTTGCTTAGGATGCAAAATGCAGGAAAGTAAGAATTATAACTATTTCTTTTATTACTGGGTCCCGAGTCACCAGACCATGTTTGGCATATACTAGATGTCCAATAAACATTCATTGAATGATCAACTGCAAGACATCATCTGTGGCAGAACTGAGAAGAGAATATAAAATGGAGCACAATAGAAAGCTAAATAATATTGCATTATAAAGGGATAGTAAAAATGGAGTGCTGAGACTTCAAAGAAGTCATGATTTTTATCCATTTCTTAGAAAAAAAGTGATGGCTTGAATTTGGGACAACCCAGCAGGGAGGAAAGCAATTAAGGCTAAAGCACTAATAACAATGTACTACAATACAGAAATGTGCGTTTTTATTCAAGAGACAGAAAGAAGATAAGCTCAAAACACCTCAACCTAGTGTAGAGAGTAAAAAATAACCAAATATCAAAGGTAGGTTAGAAAATAGTGAGCCACCACCATAAGAAAGAATTACATAAAATACTTAAAAAATAACCCAGACTTCAGATAGAATAATTTACCTTGGCTAGATTTATAGTTAGAAATAATTGCTATAAAGTGTAAAACCGTTTAATGAAAATCATAATTCAAATCAAGTTCACAAATATTTATTATCTTCTATCTTTATAGCAACAAAGGTAGGCATATTAGATTGTAAAATAGAAATCAAGACGCTTATAATCTTATATGGGCTAACAGAAGTATTCAAATAATATACTAAAGAGAATATAAGAGTTTTCAGAAAAGATACTAAGTGCTGAGAAATGTGTCCTATAGTACATGTCCTTTCCTGACATTTAGTGCAGATGTAGTTTGTTTTGTTGGGAAGGGGGAGCCGTTTGTGAGATGAGGGCCCTTTAACAAAAATAGATTTCAGTATAAAGTGTATATTAAAATCTGGGGAATTTTTCTTTTGTTAGGTAGATACAGAAGACATGAAAGCATTCTGGGGCATTTATTCTTTCATTCCTTCAGAATGAAAGTCTGCAAAAGAAAGTCTGGAGTGCCTGCTCTGGGCCGGAGCTAGGAAAGGCGGTGGTAATGTAGCACCCAAGACCTATTACCTAGGCTCTAAAAGTTTCTTGTCTAGTAAGGCAGCAGATAAGTAAACCGGTAGAAACATTCATCATGAAAAATCTGTGACTGGGGAAGCACAGATGCAAGGGGAGTCTGTGGCCGGGCCTCAGACCAGTCTTGAGCACCCGTGGAAAACTCCCAGAGAAGGGCTGACCCCTGGAGATGAAGTCAGACTTAAACGGGAGAGCTAAGAGAAGGGACAGAGCACCTGCGAAAGATGGGGAGAGGAAACCCAAACATCAGTGATGGAAAGAATGAGAGAAGGAATGTAGTATGCTCAGCGAAACATTGTCTCTCTCCTATTTAGACAAATCTTGATGTATTAAGCTTTAAAAGGAGATAAAAATTGTGTTGCGAAGGATCTTAAATATCAGGGCAGGTAGGTTAAATTATTTGAAAGTCTGCGATACCATAGATTTCTTGTACATATAGTATCCTCCCCCTCACACTTCTTTCCTGTTTTTATTATTATTTAAAAAAAATTTTTTTCTTTATTGATTTTTAGAGAGAGAGGCAGGGAGAGAGAGATAGAAACATTGATGAGAGAGAACATCGATTGTTTGCCTCCTGCATGCCCCCCAAGGCCTGGGCATGTGCCCTGACCGGGAATCGAATTGGCGACCTCTTGGTGCATGGGTCAATGCACAACCACTGAGCCACACCAGCTGGGCTTTTTTCTTGATTTTAGAGTCCACTCATTAAACAGAACCTGGAAACATTCTCCAATGACTTTGCTGCTCTTACGGCTTTAGGTGATTAGATAATTTTGGTCAGTGAAATATAAGGAGAAGAAACTTAGGAAACTACAAGAGAAGATTTTTTTTTTCTCTGATAAAAGGAGAGGGGTGAATGAAGACACTCTTTTTTTCTTCTCCCTTGAAATCACTGTGAAGTCATGTGATGCTTGGAGCAATTGCAGCAACCTTGTCACTATGAAGCAACAAGCCTGCAAGCAAGAGATAACATAAAAAAAGACCTAAATCTACAAAAAAAATCTGAGACCTTGATGATATTGTTGAACTGTCAACTCAGTCCTAAAACACTTCCTCTAGACTTTTTGTTACAAAAGATAATATATGCCATTTTTAACTGGGTATTCTATCACCTGCAAACAAAAGATTCATAAACAGATCTGGGGCACAAATCATGTGGAAGATTGGACACAAGGAGTTTAGTTAAAGGCTAATGAGATTTAGTTAAAGGCCTAGGAAAGATGTCGTAAAGACCAGAATCAGGATGGAGGTGTGGTAAATTTAACCATTGTTCACAATTTTCATCTTCTCTGAATTAGATTTATACATTTAAATCCTTCTGCTGTGCGACTGTGTGGTAAAACTGACTAGAGTGGGCACCTTTTCTTTTCCCATCTTTGAGGTTGAACTTGGCCATATGACTTGCCTTAGATCATGTTGTGTGAGTAGAAACGACAACGTGTCAGTTCTAGACGGCGGCCTTAAGAGACGATACAGACTTCTGCTTTTCTGCTTACTTCTCTGCCGTGGCCAAGACAGAACTTCCCTGAGTAGCTACTGCCCCTTCGGTCTGGGCTGCAGGATCAGTACATAGGGCATGGAACAGAACCAAGCTTCAGTGAGACGGCAAGGGCCGTCAGAGCTACAGCTTAAAGTGAGCTGTTCCGTCAAACCTGCCCTAATGTGTCTGACGCACAGACAATGAGAAATGAATGCTTTTCACTGCATGCCACTGAGATTTCGTGTTTGTTCGTAACACACCAACAGCTAACTGATCAACATGATAACAAGTATCTCGATTTTTGGTGATCTAAGCAATGCTGTGAAAATTAAAACAAAGAGAGCTCATAGAATATGGAAACTGCAACGGGAAAGCAAATAATTAGAAAAGAAATAATTCTAAATTTGCTTAGAATGTGCAATTACACAGCAACCATAAGTTTAGATTCAATCATAAGGAAGAGCCTCAAAAGAAATTGCTCTCACCCTAAAATGTAAACTCATTATGCCTCACCAAATAGTATGGCACTTATTCTGCATGTCCTGCAGATTAATTTAGTTCTATTGGATTCAAGTCAGTGAATAGCTTGTGAACACCTACCACACACTGGGTGTTGTGAAGGATGCAAAGAGTAGTTCACTCATTCAGCCACTGTCTATTACCTGCCCACTCTGGGCCAGCCCCTGTGCTGCCGCCTGAAATGCAATGATGCATAAGGTATGCCCTCCTACAGTCTAGGGGGGAAGAATAACTCACAACACTTATAATGTGATTAGTGCTATTGCAAGGGTGTGTGATGATAATAGT